TATTTCGCGTTCCTAAACGAACGCCAGCACATTGATATCCACGAATTAATCACACATGCTAGTGTAGTAGAACTTGTAATCTGTTTTGTGCATGCTGGTGTAAATGGACCTTCTGATGGATTTGGTACAAATCCAGAGGAAGTGCGATAATTACACAAGCTACTGTTAGACAGCTGTGCAAGTCTCGAAACGATTCGACAATCTTGCTGGTTTGCTTGAAACGTGACAACAACAACAACAAAAAAGATAGTACAAAGTGAAAGACAATTAAGTGCCACTTCCTAGATTACTCCGAAAGATAAAAGCATTTAAATCGACTTTTCAAAATATCTGTGGCGTGTTGTATGAACCAACTTTCAAAAGAAACGTATAATGGTAACTAGAATAGTTACCAATTTTTTATGTTTCTGACAAAGAGTGATAGGTAGAGTAAGCCCAAATAAGTGTATATAGCATATTATTTTCTCAAAAATGATATTCAAGCATTGGAAAGAAATTTAAAAACAGATAAAATAAAGCCACTGTATGAATAGCATAATAATTTTTCTGCCACTTTTGGATAATGATTCTTTAGAAATTAATTAAAATTTTCGAGGGTATCAAACAGTCAGTAAGCTCATATGTAGCGTAAAGAGAAACAATACGAAAGTCTTGCATATTTTGTCATGTTCCATAAACAGCAGTTTTAACATTACTCAAATCATATAAGGAAAATAGAAACATTTTTAACCTTTAGAGAGATTTCAAAAGAAGATCATAAAATATAATTATTCAATCAAATTTCGTGGAATTCTAATGAAATCAAGATATTAGTTTTCTACTAATATAAAAACTATTCACTTTAAAAGTGATGAGATTGCGATATCATATAAACTAGTTGTTATGCAAGATTCTATTTCATTGATGAATAAACATCATAGTTTCTGTAGTTGCTCTTTTGATAATTAACATCATATGTATAATAGCAAGTAAAATCCCCAGAGGATCTAGTTTGGTGTGTTAAGCTGAACGACATTAAGCATAACTCTTATATCTGTGAAAGCATTACTATCATGTCGAATTTGAAAGAAATTAAACTGATGTAGACCAATAACAAAAAAAGACAAAACTCAAAAATTACCTTATGTTTACGTTCTAGTTACCTATGCTGTACTTTGATGTCATTTCAATAAATCCTATATTTACAGCTTAAAATAGGTGTTCGATAAAATTATCAAAATATCAGTGGATTTAATTTAAGATTCTAAAGAAAAACTTAAATATTTTTTCATTTCCTGGTGTTCATTTTCAAACTTAGGTTATCCCAAGAAATGAAAATGTAAAAAAAAATAAGTTATATTGGTGACGTGGTTCCTCCGTATAGAGATATATGAAGTAACTTAAGATACAAATATCCAAAATCTACACTACCAGTAATATTTGGTTATTTTCATTGTAATGACTAAGTACAGATAATTATGGTAGGCTTTATAATTGAACAATATAAATGAACTAATTCTGGGTAGTAAAGTTAAACAACATTTCCACAATCAAAGTTTACTTGAAATTGGAAAGGCAATTTAATCTCTGAATATTAGGACCTATTGTCTTCTGGCATCATCGTATATAGTAATTAAACTTGTTTGAAATATACTTATAAATTACTTTTTGATAGAAATCTCTCAATACAATGGCAAAGCTTGCTGTATTTATATTTAAATGTCTTGGCGAAAGTTGGAGATAACGTCTGGGGATCGTTTTGGATGCTACAACAGCACGATAATTAACGGTAGTTCTAAACAGTTTCGTTCCCAATGTATTCAGTTCACTTCTTAAACAATTATCAATAATTGTCAGGCCCCAACAAAATAAATGTTCGTAGTACGAAACTTGACAACTGAGAATTAAACAAAAGCTTATGCGACTTCGCAAAAAAAAAAATAGTAATAGTAAAATATAATTAATGTTGTTCTTTTATAAAATGAACAGCATATTGATACTTCGTACGAGTTACTATAGTAACGATATAGTGTTTCAATAACTAAATGAAAAATAGAAAACATTCTGAGCAGAAGAAATAAAAACGAAATATAGATCATAACAGATCTTCTCGTTTTATTAAAGTATTGATCTAATGAAATAATCATGAGTTCAGAACAAGCAAACAATAATAAGTCTTTGATAGATTGTTTTGGCAAAGTATTCGTGATAAAACTTTATAGAATAGACGGCTACTGCCTGTTGTAGAAACACAAGTGTAGAGGACGACGTTTCGAAAGTCTTCCGCCTTTCGTCTTCATGCGGAAGACTTTTGAAACGTCGTCCTCTACACTTGTATCTCTACAACAGGCAGTTGCCGTCCATTCTACAAAGTTTCATCAATAATAAGTTTGGTATAACTTAACCGGCTGTTTTAAAGTAGATGTATATGTACTACTTAACTGGCTGTTATTAAGTAGATTCAAGTCTGTAACAGGAAAGTGTTTGCGTTAAACGTCATATTGTTTGCTCTACCGAATTTTGAGTGGAGACTTACTCTTTTTACGTAAGCCATGTAAGCATATAACTGAATTAGAGTAAAAAAAAACTCCCGAGGAAAAAAATATTAAAACTGAAAATAATACACCCAAAACTTTCAGTTGCAAACAACCGTGGTTATTACTGAATTAAATTAAATTTAACAACGGTGTCTTTGCAAACAATCACTTCCTGTATTGATTAGGGTTACAGTAAACAGTCACTTTCTGTATTGATTAGGGTTACTGTATAATAATTGATACCACGATGAAAAAAATCAAATGATTAAAGTGGAGAAAATTTGTGTAGTTTAGTTTGTTGTGATATTTCTTGTTTTACTATTTATAAGAAGGCCGGGCTTGATCTGGTGGTTAGCGTGCTTGGACTGTTATCCGAGGATTCATGGCTCAAGTCTCATTTCCACAATAATACCTTTCGCACTTTTGGACTATGGGTGCGCTGCAAGAGTGAAGGTTAAATTCCACTATTCGGTCAGATAAAAGCAGTTCAAGAGTTAGGGTGGGTTCTTTTATAAGCCGCCTTTTCTCCAGTTTATAAATTTAACATTAGAACGGTTAGCGTAAATAGCTTTTGAGTAGCTTTGCGAGAATATCCGCCCCCCCCCCCAGTGGCACAGCGGTATATCTGCGGACTTACAACGCTTCGGGTTTCGATACCAGTGGTGGGCAGAACACAGATAGCCCATTGTGTAGCTTTGTGCTTAATTCCCAACAAACAAACAAAGCGAATATCCGAAAAGAAACACATAAGATCTTGGGTTGTTTTGTATGAAATTCCGAAACAAACAAAACTATTGACAAGGTGTAAATGTTTCTCTATTGATTGGATAAAAAACAACAACAAATAAACAATGTAATTACAGAATGGGGATAATCTGCAAATTGTTTAATAATGATATACAACCAGTCAATATTATGATGCCACTTTGTTTGATATTAGTGTAATGTTCTCCATTATTGTGGATTCCTTTGGAACACATTCAGTGGTAAGAGAGTTTATTCCACTGCTCCTTAGCTGAGAATTTCAAATGTCATTAACCACGCCTAAACTGTTGAGGAAAATTTTAAATTACATTTGAAATATTTGTTTTATCTGCTTAATGGGTCGTCAATAAAAATTAAATCAGTCTCAAGGTTGTAGCATTCATATAAAATTATATAGAAATTGTTCATTAGCAAAAATACTACGTGGTTAGAAAGTTAGTTTAGTCTTTCTTTTTCCCGCTTAATTGTTAGCGTGCCGTAATTTGGATCCGAAAGTTCACGATTCGCATTCCATTCGTACAAAAAAAAAAAAACACTCAGTACTGTCGATTTATAGGTACGTTATATAAGTGACTGTCAAAGCCCAAAAGTTCGCGGTAGGTATTGTTCACTAGCTGCCTTTGATGTAGTCTTTCATCTCGAAATTAAGGACGGCTAACACATATAGCCCTCATGGAGCTTATTGGAAATATCATTAATACAGCAAACGAAGTTTGTTTGTTTTTTCTGACACACTTCAACTGTTCACAAAATTCAAGATAAAAAGTTTGAAGGAAACAGGTTTTAAAAGGTATAAACTAGTAAATTTGATTGTTTAATGTACTTGTTTTCTGTCAAGAGACAAAACGTTACATTATCTTGGTAAGCCTTAAAGTTATAATCGTTTCTAGGAAATATGAACGATGATATTTTCAAAAAAATTAATAATGTCGAGTAAGTACTATGTGAAATGTTATAACCGCCTTCAAATACACCCACACACGATACAAAAACCACCCAGTCACCATTGTCTTTTCAAGGGATGAATGAAGCTTATTCAAATATTTCAATTCCATTTCCGTCACCAAGCACATGCAAATAAAAAATAACCTAGTTAAAAAAACTGAGAAAAAATGAGATCAAAAAGTTAAAGTATAACACATAAAGTTGCGGTAATTTTATACTAATTACAAAAACGATTCTTAAAATGTGTTTCTACCCAATTTTTTCTTATGTGTCATTATTTGTTAAAAATTCATCAAATGAAATAGAAAGTATATACTGGTTAAAAATGGACGAAAAGGCGGTTAAACAGTTAAAAATACAACTTACTGAAACATTGTGTGTTGTGCTTCAGTTGTTTAATGACGTTTTAGTCGTTTTTTGTTTCTAAGTTTAACATTTTATTTGCAAATGTTAGCTGCCCCCCAGTGGCACAGCGGTATGTCTGCGGACTTACAACGCTTGAATCCTGGTTTCGATACCCGTGGTGGGCAGAGTACAGATAGCCCATTGTGTAGCTTTGTGCTTAATTACAAACAAATAAACAATCAAATGTTAGCTCTCCCATGATCAATGGCGATGCGAACTACCAACTAATATATCTACGTTTGTGACCTGTTTATTTAAGACCCCCGATCATGAAAAACCGACCCCTCTAGGCGTCGCGACACATTTTGAAATATTGTATCCCAGAAGGCGTTGATTGGTAGAAATAAACTACTTCATTCTGCTATTCAGAATCTTTTTTCAGATTTGAAATCCATGAAGTATGAAAAAAGATACAGGAACACCTTCATCGTCACACACCCGTCTGACCATCATTGAACCAAGCAATAACATACCCTTTTTTACCAAAGTACTCCACTTGACCTTCCCTGTACTTCATGGGTAACACCTTCTGCTTATGGTCAAGCACAATAAGCATCATTGATGAATCAATCTTCATTTCTTCTTTAACTTTGTTGATTGCATCAAATTGAACTTTTCCTCTAAGCCTATGGGTCATGTATCATAATGTCGTATTTTGTAGAATTGGGGCGGATGCTAACATTGATTCTACTTCCTTTGTTGTATCAAGATCATCTACTACTAATGAGGCAGCCTCCACCAAGATTGGCCTAACCGAAGTGTCGAAAAAATTGACGCATTTGCTACACTTAACGCAATAGCTGTGGTTGTGAACATGATCACACCGCTCACCTTGTGGAAACGTACAATGGGTCTGATCGTCAGACGATAAACTCAAATGCTCGTGTGTTTACTCATATGTCAGAAATAACATTATTTCTTTCCATCTCTGTACGATTTTCTCGACGCTTGTTCGAATACTGAACTGACATATCACAACAGAATATAGTAAGTTGAAAAACCAGCTTTTGTTTCACCTCTTTTTGTCAACAGCTTAACGATATCGCGAAATGTATGCACCCCAGTCTGCTCGTGCCTATCAAAGGAGTTCTTATAGGCTTTGTGAAGGTCTTCAATACTTCATCCGCCACGTTCGTAAACCGTATTATGTTAAAATTTCGAATGGTCTGAAACTGAGTTAAATTGTAATTTAGATTTAGTAGTTAAATAAATGCCGATTTGTATCCGATTGATAATATTTGCCAACAAGATTGACACACACACAGTTGGCTTTGTTTTATACAAATATGTTTTAGTATACAACCAACAGTACAATTTACAATAACAGTTATTACAAATAGTTATTACAAAGAATGATATATATACAAATGTTTCATAAACCTACAAGCAAGTCTTCTTTCAAGTCTGGGACTTCCTTGATATCTTATCGAGGGTTGACGATGAGAGAGTTAATTTCGAATTGATGTAAGTACAATTCACTTAACAGGGAGCTAGCTAGCTCTGTAGTTCTCGCTGATCACACGCCGATTACAGGTCGAGTTTCTTTTACTACTAAAGTTATATAATATATTCGTAAAAGTACTAATGTCCGATGTGAATACACTGAAATTGGATGATTTGTAATGTTCGAAATTTATAAACGTTCCTGGTCAATATATTTAAAGTTCCCGATTAATAAACGTTAATCACATTTCTAGCTTACGAAGTTTAAAGCATACCAATTACAGCAACTCAATAATAGATACTGTTTTGAGGCGCGTCGCGTTGGTTATATTTATAGGCGTGTGGAAAGTTTCTTGAAAATTCAGATTATATAACAATACAAAGTTACACTAGCGTTTACGTACACATATATTGTTGATTCTTACACTCGAGAATCTTCTATAACTTTAGAGAGTAGGCGGGAGTTTCGCAATACATATTTAACAGTATAATTTATGCACATTTCTAAATATAAATTAAATTTAAACAAACATCGATATTAGAATAAACATAGAATAATAAATCCGTCACATTCGGCATATCTGAAAATACGTGGTTGTCAGTCCTTAAATTCCTTGTTTGACCAGGCTTCGTTGAATGAATGTAATTGCTGTTGCAATCCTCTGGCTGTCCACACGGAAAGTATAATTCTGTTTTGGCCAATCTGTTCTACACCCCAGAGAAACAAACGTATTTCTCAAGGATGAAAACTTCACTTTTCCCATTCAGTGCTTTTGAACTGGTATAAGCTGTTTTTGTTGGTCTGGTAGGCTATTGAAATTGTCGGCGAGCATACTTTTACATGTACTTCGTTCGAGTGAGTTTGCCAAAATGCTTTGAGCAACCATGGAAATGTTTCTGCACCCAACAAGTGATAGCTTGCACAAATGTTTGGAAATGGGTTCCGTCGTATGTTTCTCATTAGGCTCTAGTTTGTTGATAACATATTTGAACAGCCCTCTTTCTTTGTCTGACACTTTGCAATACATTAGCTTTATATCCACGTATAGGTAAACATTCCAAAGCTGTGCGATTGGTAATACCCAAGGCATTGAATATAGCAGTAATGGTTTTAGAGGCTTCAGTGTTTCCATCTTCTCCGGAATCAATATCATACACCTTGCTTTCTTCTAATCTAATTCGATTTTGACCTCTCAGGACCTTCTCGTTACTCTTCTTTCTCCACTTTCAGCATCATTTTGTCGCTTCAATTTAATATGATTTGCTCTATTCGAGCATGAATCCAAACAGCATCTACAAACACCACAGGCAAAGCAGTCTCCTTTCCTTTTATGTTTACGTTTCTGGCAAGGCATTTTACAGTTTTCACTTATGAGTATATTTTTTCAATCAGAAGAAGAAGCTTTTTTTAGATAATATTATTGAATTACGGTTATGTAGTCTGACGCCTCCAATCCGTTTTTCGGCTCTGACGTTTTTCCCCTAAATATGGGTCAGTTTTTCTCGACCGGGGGTCTTAAAACATTTCTAAAACGTATGGGTTGGTTTGGTTGCTGTTAAGCGCGAAGCTACACAATAGGCTATCTGTGTTCCATTCACCACAGGTATCGAAAGCCGAATTTTAGCATCGTAAGCCTGAGACTTGGCGCTGAGCCACGGGGGGAGGGGCGATGTCTAAAACGTATCTAGATATTTCTGCATTTGACTGATCAAAAAACTTGTCATCTGGTGATCATTAATGAAAGGGAATCTACTTAAAACTATAGTTACCTTTGATACTATAGTCCCACTAATCTATTTGTTATATGTTTGTTGAATTTCGCACGAAGCTACTCTGTACCATAACTTCGAAGTGATAGACTTGAGGGAAGGCAGCTAGTCAACACCACCCATTGCCAATCCTTTGGATACCGTTTACCAAAGAATAGTGGTATTAACTGTTACATTATAAAGCCCCCACGTCAAACATGCTTGGCAACAAGTTTTGATCCCGCGTCCCGAAAATTGCGAGTGGGAAGGAACTAACCACAAGGCCATGCTAGCCTCCATTCACTAATTACTTAGATAAACTGAACAACTCATTGTAATCAAAAATTGTTACAATAATGTAATTTGACAAACATTTTAGTCTTAAAACTATTCCATTCGTCGCTAGTACACAAACCTGTGTTGTACTGGAACGCGTACACACAAGCGGACACAAACGCTGACTTTTGTCAAATAAAGATTTAAGATAATAAATCAATGATAGCACTCATAAAGCTGTAAGTGATTCATTCCATAAAATGTCACGCGATAAGTGCAACTCAGAATGAGTCATTCTATTACATGTCGTGAGAGAAATCCACCTCAGTGTTTGTTGTCATTTCCTCACAGAATATTTTTTACTTATTTACACCATATGGAGCATTTAAAAAAAATTATCAGCTCTATCTTTCATTCTATTTTTAATATTTTTTTTAAATCTACTCTCATACATTTTCAGACAGGTAAAACCAGCTTGCCGACAATGTTAAATTACCCAACCAAGTATTAAACAACAACAACAAGAAATAAAACACTAACACAGCGTCGAACGGTCGGCCACACAGCAGCTGTTACACTTGCAGTGACTAGAGTTTTGAATATGAAACAATGAAAAAAAAAAGAAAGAAAGAAACACTTTGTGATAAACAAATAAAGGTATTTTTTATGAAAAGCTAATCCTACTTAAAAGAATGTGACTCGTCTATGAAATATGCTAACTCGGGTGCTTAGTATTTGACACTTTCAATCTGAATAGCATCTTATGCGACACATTCAATAAACGACCAAGTTAGGGATTCCAAGGTTCAAGCATAACCATCCCTAATTCAGACTGCTGACTAGATGGAGGACATATAGTCAGCAGCACCTGCCGCCTAAATGGCTACTGTCAACCGAATAATGGGACAGGTTGTCACTTTTATAACATATTCACTGACAAAAATGAGGCATACCGTAGGCTCGAATCTTGGATCTTCTGTTTGTTTTGTTAGCAATTTTGAAACTATAGTCCCATTAATCTATTTGTTATGTGTTTGTTGAATTTCGTACGAAGTTACTCTGCGCTAGCCGTCCCTAATTTAGCAGTGAAAGACTAGAGGGAAGGCAGCTAGTCATCACCCCTCACCGCCAACTCTTGGGCTACTCTTTTACCAGCGAATAGTAGGATTGGCCGTCACATTATAACGCCCTCACGACTGAAAGGGCGAACATATTTGGTGGGACGGGGATTTGAATCCGTGACCCTCAGATTGCGACTCAAGCCCCCTAATAATCTGGTCATCCCGGGCCAGATCTTCTGTTACCCAACCTGTTAAGCTAAACGTCTCCACAAGGGTAATTCAACGGAATATTTTCAAAGACAAGAAATAAAATTGCGACCAATCTTTGACAATTACTTTTACATCACTGACAAAGGACTGTGGCGTAAATATTGCGGAATATAACCTAGATTTAATCGAATTCAATACGTAGACAGTTTTTACAACTTCATACTTTTATTCACCAAGAAAAATTATGCTTCAGTTATACTTCGTAACATTCTACAAATTAAATGAGAAAAAACAGATATTTATGATAATTTTCGTGTTATATTTTCCCCTATCTGTGATCGTACTCATAAAATTAGTTACAACACAAAACAACGAAGTGAAACATATTTAATTTGTTTGCTGGCATTTGCTTGGCCATTATTTCTGGTGACAGACAATAGTTATATTTTCTAAAAAAATGGACGAGAAATTTCGACCTGCTCTTCAAGACAGTATTAGCCATTATTTCTGGTGACAAACAATAGTTTAAGTTATATTTTCAAAAAAAATGACCGAGAAATTTCGACCTGCTCTTCAAGACAGTATTAGCCATTATTTCTGGTGACAGACAATAGTTTAAGTTATATTTTCTAAAAAAATGGACGAGAAATTTCGACCTGCTCTTCAAGACAGTATTAGCCATTATTTCTGGTGACAGACAATAGTTTAAGTAATATTTTCTAGAA